GAACTGAGGAGCTCTAAATCTGCGCGGACACTGCCTTTAAGTCAAATCTTCCTTGAATTCCTTCATTCTCCTACGTCTTTGTTGTTTTGGTTCTTCCACCCAAAAATTTACTGACTTATGTAATCATCAAATTCAAGAAGTGAAGGAGAACAAAAGACAGAAGTAAAGAAAGTCTGTCGCTCCCATTGAGATGGTCATGCAGATCTGTCCCAATCGAGATCAGGCCGAACCGTTGCCTAGATTTGCGCGCTCGCAGCGCTAGGGGTTTGCGCTGCATACGCCCTCTGTCTGAGAGAGCCAAGAACTGAGGAGGCACTAAACGAGAAAACAGTAGATGCAGAGAGAACTCTTGCGACATAGACTCCCGCCAAGCGATTTTGGCCTGATTGGGATTGGGACAGACTATAGACGACTTAAGATCAATAATAATTCACAAATGGTACGAGTTCCTATACCGCTAGAAAATGAATACTTACACACATTCCGGTGCAATCTGTTTGAAAGCGTAGGCTGCAGTGTCACCGCAATACGAATAACCGGCATGCCTACAAGCATTAGTTGAGCGAGATACAAGAAAGAAAAGGAAACTTGAATAAGTCAAACACTTACGGCGAAACGATAGCCCTAGCAGAACCGAGACGCTCGCCAGCGGCATCTAGCCATCTGGTTATCTGGCGATCCAACTCCTTGGGATTACTTGAATACCAAGAGCCTGAAAGCTAAGCTGCAGTACAACGATATCCTTATAGAAACAGAGGACAAGAGCTTTTTTTACCTCGGGCTTTACATATAGGGGAAGCAAAAGTCTGTTTCATAACCTAACTCACAAAACTGATCCGTTATTAGCATTTCCGCTAGGACTCGAGTGTCTCTTCTAGGTGCCAAGGTAGACTGAGTAGATCCCATTGCGTGCGGAGAGAAGTAATGCCTAGAGGCTTACTCTGTGCACGCCCTCATGTCCACTGATTTTGAATCAAGCTCTAGGTCTCATAAGCAGGCACAAAACCGAATAATGGTTTTCTGACGACTTCGAGTCCGATCTAGTCTTCGGACTTTGCTGCATGTATCTCGTGTACATGACCGGTTCGTTCATACAGAAGAGGCACCAGTTTAATGTTGCGGAAAGATTATTTGAACGAGCGCTCAAGAGGCTCGACAAAGCAAAGCGACACAAGCTAACTGCTAAGGTCTTAACCAACATCCTTTGTTCTTCAAACTTACCGGCATGAGAAGCTGCCCGAGCCATCCCGTGACCATAACCGTTCGTGGACATCTTCTGCTCGTTCACCTCTAAAAAGTTTGAAACTAGGCAAGAATGAGACGGAGTCTGAAGGCAGTGGACAGGCAAAATGGACTCTTCTCAGATCTTGGCGCAGTTAGATAGTAAACCCCCGAGTACACCGTAGCCCAAACACCACCTGTCAACTCAAGCGTTAAGTCTTGAAAAATGCGCTTCAAAACTCCGCCAACCCCGCCCACTTCCACTAAGTGGGCGTCATTGGTGGAGATTTAATGCGCTTTTCAGGAGCTAGCGCATGAAATGTAGGGTGGGGTTGGGACTGCGGTGTACTTGGGGGTCCTACCTAACACCAATCTTAAAGTTTCCATTTTGCCTGTCCACTGCCTTTAACATGAAATTTTTATGAGTCTGATGTGATGCAAAAAAATCGCCTTTATGGAGGAATTTCCACTGACATAGTGAAGATGGAGTGATGAGTACCGAAGATAGAATAAGGTGCAGATTCAGGTCTCGGCAATTGTGGTGCCCGGTTCTCACTAATTATTTGATTCGAGTCTCAGAGCAACAAACCTTTTTGAGTCTGCATAGCTTTGCCGAAAGAATTTCCCATGCAGTAATGACTTAAAATGTGTAAATATCCAAAAGCGCACAGAAAACCATATAAGCTATAAACGAGGCGAATGGCTGAACAATCTTCATTAGATTCGCAGCACACCGCAAAAGCATAAAAACGGCTTCAGATGAAAACTCCAAAGGAGCTTCCCGTTTTTTATCGAGATGAACAAACTGACAGGTAATTCAACATTAGCGATGCTAGCAGAAACATCAACAGGCAAACACGGGTCAAAAAATGGTGAAACGTGAGAAATGCTACCAGAGGTTTCTTGAGGAAGATATCGAGATCAAGCAGCACGGTACTCCGGTACTCCGGACTTTCCACAGAGCTTAAACTTTCCTTGCAAAAAAACGTATGAAAAAGGAAAAAAGCCGAGACTAGCTGAGACTTCAGAATGTTCCTGAATGCGATTGTTTAATGGGCTTCACAATAATACGACATGTCAAAACTTGACAGGAAAAGTTTTAGAGTACTAGCTGATTCGCAAGTTCTGATGCTTGTTAGTTTTCTGCATAAGACTGCGCGCTACACACTCAGTGGCAGCTTGTGGCTGAAAAAGTGCGTACAGCGTTGCCGTGTGCCAAAGCTGTGCAAGCGCGGAGTCTAAACTTACGATGTCCGCTATACTCGTCGATCGACGTTTTAGCACGGCACTGGAGCTACGCTGGCATGGCGCTGACACGGTACTGGCACAAGCAACTTTGGGCAAATTGCAAAAAAAAAAGAAGGGACGCAAAAACTTGCAGTTGCGCAACGTGTTTCACAGGTCACGTAAGTGGCTACTAACATGGTTGCGCAAAAAGGTCGTCTCTCACTTTCCGTACTATGACCGGGAAAGGCACAACAAACGTTTAGCAATATGGCTATTTGAGACAACAATTAATGTAATAAGCAAACTCACTGTTAGTGTAGGCAGTAGTAATTCCTAAGGCAGTCGCGAAGATGACCCAGAGAGTAAAAGGCGATGTTACGAATACCCGTAGATCTTCGAGAAAGAAAGTGATAACACTTTCAAACTCCAGTCCAATGCTCTTCTATACTTTGAAAAACAGCAGATTGTGACGGGATCTCTGGAATCGCAACTTTCGAGGATCAAATTATGCAACGACTGTCTAATGTTGATTTTTCGCTCGTCCATCAAAATGATTATGTGCGAGCAAACTTAACGCGACAATTCACATTCACGTGTACGAGTCATGGACTCACTCCACGCAAATATTGCGAATTAGGTGGTATAGTGAATTATCTGTATAAATAAAGCTGAATGTCTGTTTGTCTGT